TGATGTTTTTGAATTGCAGGTCTGGACAAGAATATTGACTATACAATCAACTGCCAAAAGAATGAACCGCTCTATCTTGAGAGAAGTGTAGACAAAAAGGTTTTTAGTATTAAGTATAGCAAACTTTGTCTCATATACTTTGGAAATGTTATCAGGAGAGACTAGTTCCTGTAGAAAGGAATGTTTGGTGTCACTCATTGCTGTTGAGTTGGAACTGACTCATAGCTGACTCTCTAGAGAGTTTTCTGAGGCTGTAAATTGCATGGAAGGAAATGACCTATCTATCTTTCTCCTACAGAGTCGCTGATAGATTTGAACTGCCAGAGAGATGCCATCTAGAGGTTAGTAGCACCACTTCTTACTCATGTTTTGTTGATGTTCATTGTCGTTGAATCAGAACAGATTTATAGCTAACCCTCCAGCGAATTTTTCAGAGGCAGTAAATTGCATGGAAGGAGATTGTCCATCTTTCTCCCACGGAGCAGCTAGTGGTTTTGAACACCGTGACTTTCAGTTGGCAGTTTAGCTCCTCACTACTAGGCCATGTCTCTCCTTGGAGGCTAGGATTTTGAAGCTCTGGCTCTCTTACTGTGGGCACATGATCAAGAGAGATCGGTTCTTGGAGAAGAACATCATGCTCAGAAGGGTGATCGGACAGCGCAAGAGAAGGAGACCCGGATGAGATGGATTGGTATAGTAACTGGTGCAAAGGGGTTGGTGTGTCAGAATTAGTGAGTCTGGCTCAGGACAGGGAAGGGTTCAGAGCTGCTGTGCATAGGGTTGCTATACATCACAGGTGACTCAATGGCACATGACAAGAAGCGTGGTGTTAGGATTAGTGGACGATCTATCAACAATCTGTGTTATGCAGATGACACACCTTTGCTCGCTGAAACTGAGGAGGACCTCATGCACTTACTGCAGAGGGTCAAGGACTGCAGCCTTCAATATGGACTGAGGCTCAATGTCAAGAAGACAAAAATTCTCACCACTGGACCAATCGGTAGCATCAGGATGGATGGCAAAGAGATTGAGAGTGTTCACAGCTTCAGTTTGCTCGGCTCCACGGTCAACACCCTTGGCACCAGTAGCCAGGAAATCAAAAAACATATTGTGATGGGAAAGTCTGCAGTTAGGGACCTCTCTAAAGTACTTAAGAGCAACGGTGTCTCTCTGGAGACTAAGGTGCCCCTGATACAGGCCATGGTTTTTGCAATCACTTGTTATGCATCAGAGAGTTGGACAATGACTAGGGAGGATAGAAGGAGAATTGACGCCTTTGAGTTGTGGTGCTGGAGAAGAGTATTGACTGTACCATTGACTGCCAAGAAAACAAACAGATTCATCGTAGAGAGGGTTAAACCAGGCTGCTCATTGGAGGCAAGGATTCTGGGGCTTCATCTGACTTACTTTAGACATGTTGTAAGGAGAGACAGGTCTTTGGAGAGGGACATCATGCTGAGTAGAGTAGAGGGGCAGCGCAAAAGGGGAAGACCCTCTATGAGGTGGATTGATTCAGTGACTGGGGTAATCGGGATGGGTGTGTCAGAGGCAATGAGATTGGCACAGGATAGAGCACGGCTTAAGGCTGTTGTACATAGGGTCGCTATGAGTCGCAAATGACTCGACGGCACGTAACAACAACAACAACATGACAGGTTTGGTAGCAGGAGTGGTATCCACTTCATAAACAAAACTTTGATAAGTGTCGATAGTTGAACAGGGGCTTCATAAGGTCACTAAGAGTCATGCTTGATTCGAAGGCAGTCAACAACAACAGTTAGGCCATGAGAGCTCCCAACAAAATCATATAGGGTCATTAAAAAGAGAAAGACTCTCAACGAGGCGGATTGTCATAGTGGCTGTAACAACGGGCTCAAATGCAACAGTGATTCTAGAACAGCAAAGGATCCAGGTGGCATTTTGTTCCATTGTGTTAGGGGTCACTGTGAGTTGGAGCTAACACCTAATAAAAACACACTTTAAAGATTCCTACTTTGATAACAGAATTCTTCCTTTAAGATCCTAACTTCACCACCCAGAACCCAAGACTGAATCTGTGGGTTCTCTTTCTTTCATGTGAAAACTAATAGTCATATCCCTCCAACTTATTACTAGATTTCTTCCTCTTTGAATCCAAAATTCATACCCTTGGTACCAACAGTCAGGAGATCGGAGACATAGCATTGGGAAGCTCTGTTGTCAGGGATTTCTCCAAAATCCTGAAGACCAATGATCAAGCCTGATTCAAGCCCTAGTCGTTCCATTCACCTGCTAGGCATCAGAGAGCTAGACAATGAATAAGGATGATAGATGAAAAACCAATGTCTTTGAGTTGTGTTAGAAAAGAGTATTGATTATCCCATGGACTGTCAAGAGAATAGATAAGTCTTGGAGAAAGACCAATCAATGTTCATTAGAAATAAGGGTGGTAAAGCGTTGTTTCACATGCTTTGGGTGTGTTGTTAGGAAAGCTATTCCTCAGAAATGGACATATTTGGAAAGTGTCCATGAAAGAGAGGAAGACCCAAAGTGAGATAGATTGATATACTGACTGTGACAATGGGCTCAAGTATATTTGGGACAATAAGGATGGTGCAGAATAAGACAAGGCTCAGATCTGTTGCTCAGTGGATTGCTTTGAGTTGTACTCCACTAAGAGGTACCTAACAAAAATAAGTGGCTTTGTGGGAAGAAATTGTACTGTCAACTCAAAGGTACTCAATTCAAATCCAGAAACCCCTCCATGGGAGAAAGATGGACAATTACCTATCAAGTATTTTACCACCTCTGAAAACATGCTGGAGGGTCAGCTATGGGCCAGTTCCTACTTGATAGTACACAACAGCTGTGGAGAGTGAACTTTCTTTGCCAATCTTCACCACATTGAATAACTTGAATTTGGTTCTGATCCTTCGTTTCCCCTAGTAAATCCAGCAGTCCTAGATGACCTCTAGCTGGGTTTCTTTCTTTTTTTTTTTTAAAAGCCAGTCAAATTCAGCAGTGGGGGGTTGTATACCAACTTTAGTTGCACTAATGTTAATAGTTTCTGATAACCCACTACCATCAGACCAGCCTCTAGCTGGGTTTCTGATCGAACTCAGAAAATCCACTTACCTTCTTCCCTCTTTCTGTCTCCAACAGGGTTCCTGGGTGGATAAAATGGTTTAGACTCAACTACCAAGTATTTTGCATATGGAAACATTACATATTGCATTTCAAGGCTTGGATTTTTTAAATTACATTCTTTTCACTTGAGAAATGCCTAGTGTGCTCTTCCTTCTTGATTTCCTTACTCTACACCTTTTCATATTTCCTTGTAATATTTTCCTTCACCTTCTTGAATTGCCCTTTGACATTTTCTGCTCAGCTGCTCTTATCATTTTCTCCCTTTAAACTTAGCTTTTCTACACTCAGGAGTAGTTTTTGGAGTCTCTCCTGACATCCATTGTCTGTCTTTTACATGACCTTCTACTTTCTTCATGCATGATGTTCTTGACATCATTTCACAAATCATGTGGTCTTCAGTCATTAGTGTTACATGCATCCAATCTATTCTTGTGTTGCTTTTAAATTCAAGTAGGCTGAACTTAACGTTGTATTTTGGCTCTTGTGGAGATTTGTTTTCATTTTCTCTTTAACCAAGAGAAGTATTTTTCACAGATGCCTAGACGCACCCTTAAACTCTCAAAAATGAGCAAGTTGAATAACTGGGTTCAAAGGAAACCAAGAAGGCGGGAGGAGAGAAGATGAGATAATATCAAGTATCTCTTCATTATCAAGGGCTCATACTCCTGGTCAAATATCTTCAAATTCCAAGGGAATATAAGAAAGTAATTTCTATATGTACGGCTCTGGAATTTAATTTTCTGATTCTTCCGCTTCTTAGCTGACCTTGAGCAAGTTATTTATCTCTGAGCTTGATTTTCTTCATGTCTATTTTCAGGGATTATCTCAGGCTGAAATGAAGAGCCAAATAGCCCTCTATACGTGTTTTCATATCTAAAAAGCTCATTTCAGCATTATCACTTTGTGGACTCTTCTCCAACACTGCAACTCAAAGACATCAATCCTTCTATCATCCTTGTTCATTGTCCAGCTCTCAGATGCATAGCAAGTGATTGAAAAGACCATGGCTGGAGAAGAGCGTTGAGTGTCCCATGGACTGCCAAAAGGACAAACGCTATGTCTTAGACAAAGTGTAGCCACAGCTAAGGATGATGACGCTTCGTCTCACATACTTTGGCTATGTTGTTGGGAGAGGCTATTCCTTAAAAAGGGACATCATGCTTGGAAAAGTGGAGAGTTAGAGAAGGAGAGGAAAGCCCTCAATGAGATGGTTTGACACAGTGACTGCAGCAATGGGATAAAATTGATCAGAGATTATAAGCATGATACAGGATAGGACAAGGTTTAGATCTGGTTACTTTAACAACGGCAACAACAATCTTGTGGTCACGTGCTCTACTCATTTTAGAGATGAAGAAAGTGTTAAGAGTCCATGACCTGCAGTGGCAGGGCTGAGAATTCAGCTCCAACTAATCTAAGATTCCCTTGGGCCCTTAGCCACCACAGCAATCTCTCCAGAGAAGCTACATCTCTGGACTTCCTCGTATCTGGGGAAAAAAGAACCAAACAAAACTAGAACCAAAAGGCAGACTCAGTAACTCATTGCTGTGGAGTTGGAAGCAACTCAGAGTTGACCCTCCAGCGGGTTTGCAGAGGCTCTAAATCGCAGAGGAAGAGATTGCCCATCTTTCTCCCACACAGCAGCTGGTGGATTCAAACCTACTTTTGGGTTGTCAGAGTAACTCCTACCCACCAAACCACCAGAACTCCTAAAAGTAGATTGGGAAGTAGGAGGTATCTGTGTTAGGTAGACTTGACAAAAAACTATCAGTTTAGGCTAATCTGGGATGCTTTTTTCTGTTCTTTAGGTGGGCCACTGCAGTTCAGAGAGTGTCAACCAAGGAAAATATCCAATAGTAAGAGAACCCATGATGACCAACACAGAAAAAGATCAAGAAGGTCAAGGTGAGCCCTGGTGTCTATGTAGTTCTCCTCAGTTATTTCTTCTGTCCTCATTCCTCTTTACCTGATGATATTTCTGCCCCAAGGAAAACGGGATAAACTCAATTCACACAGAGATGGAGGGACAATGGGATACTATTTCTCTGTAGTATCTGCACCTTTGAACTTTACCCATAATTGAATTTTTAGCTTCAGAAAGCCAGTAACCAATGGGTAGTGTTAGGAGGCAGGTGGTGGGGTCTTAGTGGGACTGGGATGGCTGTCTTTTTTTCCCTCGAGCAAGGTCGACTCTGTTCAGAGGGCATAGAAATGCTGACTCCTTTTCTTGGTTCCATGGCGTCTGAGGGTCTGAACTCCTCGCTGTGGGATAAGTCACTCCACAGACAGCACATGCTTAGGGAATCAAGTCATGAGGAACCAGAATCCACAAGGGCAGAGGGTGGGGAAAGCCTTCACTGTTTTCTTTTGCAGAGCTGCAGCAACTATCTTCCCTCACCTCAGAACCCCACCCAGCATCTGTCCGGGGTTCCTGTTCGTGTTTGATTGTACCTGTGAGTCCCAGGAGGTCAAAATGTGATGACCAGAGTCTTAGGGTCTCTAGGAACAGCCTCCACATCCGTCTAGGCCGTGGTTTCTCATGTCTACCCCGATACTGCCCTCAACCCCACTACCCACCCAGGATCCTTCAGACTATGCCCCCAGCTTGCCTTACAGCCTCTCAGACGCTGACCCTTTTCTCTCTCTCCTAGGAAGTAGGAATCACCTATTTTGTGAGGTTCCACCGAGTGAGCAAACGTCCTAAGCCCGCCACTCCCTTCCAAGGGTATTTCTGATTCCCAGACCTCACCCCATTCCTCATCTTGCCTGGGGGTCCTCAGATCTCACTCTTCCACTTTCCATTGAGCTGCAAATTCATTCCCTCTCCACTCCCATTTGCACCTCATCTCCCCTGCCTTTCCTCCAGAAGAGACCCAGCCACCTTCCTCTGTAGCAGCCCACAGTTCAGCAGGACAGGGGCAGCCCCGGAGGAGGGAGGAGGGTCCAGGACTCAGGCAGGAAGGGGGCCTACAGGTCTTCTACTTGTCCTACTTTTTAGTCGCCAATACCCGCCGTCCGCATGCTCCCTTACTTCCCAAGTGGGCTCAGGCTAACTAAGAGCAGAGCATTGAGTGTATCAGCATTTTTAAATTTTTTTATTCTTTAAACTGCTGGTGGGGGAGAAAGGGGTGGAGTGGAGGAAAGAAAAGACTGCTCAGGGTGATTGACACAGGGCCCCGCCTTCTTTTGTCTCCTCTCAGGGGACTCGGCCCCTTCAGGGAAATACACCTGTTTCAGGCCAGAAGCCGGTGGAGACAGGTTCACCTCTGCTCCTCACACCTCCCACACCTGCTCCCTGAGGCTGTTTCCCCGGGAGCCTGAGGAACTCTTTCTGGAGCCATGAGGGGGACCCGCTGGAGAAGGGTCCCCTGGATGTCCCTCCTGTGGCCTGTAGTCCTGGGTAAGTGATGCCCCTGTGGGCAGCATCCGAGGACAGGGGGCAGCTGGGCTTTGGGGAGCCCATCAGAGAAATGAGAAAAGAGAGAAAGGGAGACAGAGAAGAGATCTGGATGGTGCAGGATCAGGGAGCTACAGAGAGAATGGTAGGCAGAGAGGGCAGGAAGAGACAGGGCTGAGCAGAGGGGAACTGGGAGAGGCCTGGCAGGAGGGAATTCAAGGTAGAACCAGGGTTCATTTTGTGGAGAAGAGGGAACAGGCAGGTAGAGTCGGAGAGAGTTGAGGAGAGAGACTGAGATAGAAAAACAAGAAACTCAAGGGACAGAAACAAGAGAGAGAAATACACAGAGTTAAGGAAAAAGGGGAGAAAAGAGGAATTTGAAGCAAAGTGGATACACTAGGGAGATGAGAGGGGGGTATGCAAACCGGAAATGAGGGCTGAAGGAAACCAAGAGCAGGTTGGCTTGGAGAATGACAGAGAGAAGGACGGTCAGTTGGGGCAAGGGAACAGCAAGATTCTGGGACAGTCAAGTTTCTTGCCTAGGATTTTAGGTTTGAATGCCTCCTCTTGGGTTGATGCCCTCAGGACATTATAACCCTGGAATTCACCTAGATGTCTTTCCACATCCCTATTCACCTTCTATGAAGTTTTGGGTAGGTGGGCATGGAAGCAAGGCATGTTAGAGAAGTGACCTCTGGGGTCCTCCAGGCTTCTCCTCATTGTCCCCCTGCTGCCCCTTTAACTTAAGAGCAGGTTTCATTCGGAGTTCTGGGCATCTGAGTTTGCCATGGAAGGCCTGGATGCACTAGCTGAAAAGTTAGATTTGAGTCTTCTGAAGATTGTGTTAGAAAAGAGCCTGAAAAATTAGGCATTCATTGTAAACTTTATGGAAAGGAGGCTCTGCTGGTGTGGTGGCAAGAAGCTGCACTGCAATCCCGAAGGTGCGCAGTTCGAATCCACCAGTTCGATGCTTCACTGGTGAAGGAGGGGCACAACAAGAAAACAAAAAACAAACAAAACCTTTATGGAGCACAATTCTACCCTGACACACGTGGGGTCTCAACTGAGAACCCATTTTTTTTTTCTTCCCTGGGAGGGTTTGGCTCCTAGGGAAGAGTAGAGCCATTCATGGGGACAATGACAGAATCACAGCCCCACCCCAACCTAAAAGCTTTTATAGAAAGGATCATTTCTTGGGGAGTGAATTAGAAGCACTCACCCTGTTACAGATGCTGAAAGACAGGACAATGTTGTAGAATTTTCCACCTTCCTTGAACTGTTTATGAGTTTGACTAAGAAAGAGCAAATGAGAAAAATGTCATTCTGCTCACCAGCACCCTCACCACACACCCACACCCCTGCTCATCACACAGTGAGGACACAGGGCCTTGAGGGAGGCTCTGGAGCCTGCAGTGATCAGCCACTCAGGCTCTTGTCACGGAGTGAAATAGAAGGATGCTGGAAAAGGCCTTTCCATGAGGACCATGGTGCAGTGCAGATGGGAGACGGTGGCTTTGGTTTAAGAGAGACCCTGGGGCCCTGTTCTGGAGTTCCTAAGTGGCACAAACGATTAACTGTTCAATTACTAACTGAAAGGTTGGTGGTTTGAACCCACCCAGAGGTCACAGAAGGCATCTTGGTGGTTTAGTGTTAAAGCACTCAGCATCTAACCCAAAGGTTGGTGATTTGTGTGAGAGACGTGGCAGTAAATTTCTGTAAAGATTACAGTCTTAGAAAGCTACTAGTGTGGGGGGATATATTGCCTTGGGTAAGTCTGCTGTCAGGGACCTCTCCAAAATGCTGAGGAGCAATGATGCCAGTGTGAAGACTAAGGTGCATCTGATTCAGGCCATGGTCTTCTCAATCGCCTGCTACTCATCAGAGAGCTGGACAATGAATAAGGATGACTGGTGAAGAATTGATGCTTTTGAGTTGTAATGCCGTAGAAGAGTACTGAAAATCCCATGGACTGCCAAGAGAACAAATAGATATGTCTGGAAAGGGTGCGGCCAGAGTGCTCTTGGAGGCAAGGATGAAGAAGCTTCACCTTTCCTTCTTTGGACACGTAGCTAGGTGAGGCTATTCCTTGAAAAGGGACATCATGTTTGAAAAGATGGAGGGTCAGTGAAAGAGAGGAAGACCTCCAACGAGATAGATTGACACGGTGACTTCAGCAGTGGGCTTTAGTGTGTCAGAGATCGTGAGGATGGCACAGCATAGGACAGGGCTCAGGTTAGCTGTTCAAGGGTCACAAACCCTAACAGAAACAATAATGGGTCACTAGGAGACATAATTGATTCATTGGCGATAAGACATTTTTATTTTAGAGATGACAGCCTTGAAAACCTTTGGAAGGATCGTTCCACTCTGCAATGTATCAGTCACCATGAGTTGGAAGTGACTTGGAACCCAGTTGGGTTTGGGCTTTTCTGGTGATCCTGTCTCGTCCTGCTTCCCATTCTGGTCTCTGTGCCTGAGTCCTGTTTTATCTCTTCAAAGGTGTCTCCCACCTGTAGAAAGTGGGGGCAGTGAATGATTTGACCTCCAAGCTCTGCATTCTTGAGTATGACGTTCTGTGATTTAAAGTCAATCCAAAGAATGTAAAGGAGCAGCCCAGCACACGGCCTTGCACTAATGTCAGCAGGCTCAGGAGGGGCAGGAATGTGGGTCTAGAAAGAGGAGCCTTGGAGTGGGAGGGGGCGGAGAAGGCGAGAAGGGCCGGAGGCTGCCACAGAGCAGAGTGATGGAGGAAGCTGCCCTCACAATGACCCTGGGGAGAGGCAGCGATGCCCTGACTCCTGGCTTCCTGGCAGTGAGTATATAGAAGTGACATCGTCTGGTATAAAGTCATTGTGTGACACTATTTCAAAGTGGGAGAGCCTGGTGGGGAGGAGGAGGATTGAATCAGGAATGGGATGGGAGCCTCCATTGGCTCAGGGCTATTTCTGCCCCTCCAAAACTCCTTATGCTCCTAAAAAGTCACCCCTGTGCTTTCTGTAAGAAGCTCTGATGGTGTGGAGTTTAAACACCCAGGTTCTAACCAACAGGTCGGCAGTTCAAACTCACCAGCCACTCTGCAGAGAAAGACGTGGCTATCTGTGTCTATAAAAATTCACAGCCTGGCAACTCCTTGAGGCAGTTCTGCTTTGTGCTATTGGGTTGCTCGAAGTCAGAATAGACTCCACAGCAGATCCAAGCGCTTCCTGTGGGTTTGTGAGGCTTGGCTTATCTGAGGGTGTCTTGTCATATGTACTGACCTGAGTGTCAGTGTCTGACAAGGCATCATGGTTCTTCGCTTGGCTGCTGGCTCCACACCTGTGGTTTCTGTACTTAGTGGTTATGGTGGTGGCCTGGCAGCGTTTGGCGGTTCATAGGATCATCCTTGCTTCTGAGAAGCACCCTGGTTCCACTTTCTCCAGGACAGACCTGTTTGTTCTCTTAGCAGTCCATGGTGATTTGCCTTCATTGCCAAGAGAGACTGCCAAGTGGTTAGCTCACACAAGTGATT